CTCTTGGCCAGGACTCCCTTGAAAAAGAGGTTTTTAATCTCAATGGGACTTTCCTGGTTAAATAAAGGAAATAATAAGATCCAGTGGAGTCAGGTCCAGTAGGACTTCAAGGGCTGCTGTGGGTGTAGTTCTAATTGCACCTGTGATGCTCAGGCAGGCCACATGTTGCACATGGGTGAGCGTCACTCTTGCCACCCCAACCTGAACCCGAACCCACCACACTAAAGCTGCATAGCATAGCATGGGGCGGACTATAGTCGTATAGATCCATCTGATAACCTTTGGGGTAGCAAGCACCCCAACGACTACCGGCAATTCTACGACACTGATGTAGGCACATTACTGCCTTCTTACACTTTTTATTTATGTGTCTTTTCCAGTTAAGCTTCCTKTCCAGATAGACACCCAAGAACTTAACTGATTCTGACAAGGAGAGTATTACCCCCTCCAATTTTGGAGCTGAGTACCCCTTCCTTGACTTCTTTTGAGTAAAAAGAACCAATTCTGTCTTGTTTGGATTGACAGATAGTTCCTGCTCCCGGGACCATCTGGATACAATGTTTAGTCCCCTCTGCATTAGGTTACACACAGTACCCAGACAGAAGCCTTCTATACGTATGACCAAGTCATCTGCATATCCTTGTGTGTGAAGTCTAGATCTATTCAACTCACTTAGTAGGCTGTCAACAACCAGGAGCCAACACAGGGGCGAGATTACTCCTCCCTGTGGACAGCCCCTTCTGAGGTTAACGGTTATCGAGCAGTCCCCCAGARTTGAAGATGCTTTCCTTGTCTGAAGCAAGAAAACGAGCCACTTTGTGGTTGTTTCATCCACACCTTTGTTGGCAAGTGCTCTCTCAACAGCTTCTACAGGAACATTGTCAAATGCCCCCTGTATGTCCAAAAAGCAGCCTAGTACATATTGTCCACGTGCCAGGCTGCGTTCTATTCTCAAAACAACATCATGTAAGGCTGTTTCTGCAGAAAGACCTGCCTGGTATGCATGTTGTTTAGGACTTAAAGGTGATAGCATTAAACTGCCATCTCTTATGTGTCTATCTATCAACCTCTCCATTCCCTTCAGCAAGAAAGATGTTAAGCTGATGGGGCGGAAAGGTTTTGCTTCTCCATATGTTGCTTTGCCAGGTTTGGGCAGAAAGACAACTTTTGCCATCCTCCACCCAACTGGTACATAACCGTTTGCCAAACAAGCAACATAAATTCTAGAGATTGTGTCCAGAAGCACATCCAGTCCTCTTTGAAGAAGCGCTGGGAAAATACAGTACCATCTGGTCCACAAGCTTTAAATGGACCAAACATATTAATTGCCCATTTTACTTTGACTTTCGTGATGATACTTGTAGCTCTGTTCCAGTCGTCCTCTGTTGGTTTTAGATCGGTGACTGTGACAGGCTGTGCAGTCTCTTCTGCCCCAGGAAAATGTATCTGGAGAAGATGCTGGAGCACACTTTCTTGTGTGACTGGCAATCCTTCTGGTAGAATAATGAAGGATAGTTGATTGACTGGATCTTTTCTTAGAAGCTTGTACAGCTTAGAAGAGGCACTAGGCCCTTTTACTTCTTCGCAGAAATTCCTCCAGGAAAGCCTCTTACACTCCCTTAGAACACTTTTATAGTGATTGCGGGACTTTACATACTGTTCCCACCTGGTTTTGCTTGGTTGGGATCTGTATCTTTGCCATTTACATCTTGCTGCCTTATGGAGGCCAGACAACTCTGAAGTCCACCAAGTCGGCTGCTTTGAAGGCCTCCAGATTTTCTCCGGACAGGCAGACTTATAAGCAGTTTGCACAGCATCAGTCATGCTTGTGACCTCTGTTTCAATGTCTTGCACAGTTTTAATCCTGGCAATTCTTCCACCCATCAACTGGGTTAAACTGCTGGTAAACAGATTCCAGTCAGTGNTTTTTGGGTTTCTGTAAGTGACTGGGTGTGGTTTCCCCATCTTCAGCTTAAACTGAATACGTCGATGGTCTGACATGGTTTCCTCTGGGGACACCTCCCAGTCACATATACTGTTTACCAAGTCCATGAACCCGACTGTTATATCAATGACCTCCTCCCTATTAACTGTTTGGAATGTAGGTGCATTGCCCTGATTAAGAATAAGCAGATCTTCTGTCATCAAATATTCTAACAGTGACCTGCCTCTAGGGTTATTATCAGAGCTCCCCCAGCACACATGATGGGAGTTGGCATCACAGCCTATGAGTACGGAGAGGCCCTTATCTTTGGCATAATTGACTATCGCCATGAACTCCTGTGATGGAGGTGGCTGCTGTGAGTCAAATGACAGGTATACAGAGGCTGCAATAATTTGTCTGGATTCACCATTTGACTGAATATCCAACTGCACTGTTACAGCATCTCCTGTTGTTAGATGGGGCAGTGCACTGTATCTCACACCACTTGTCAGGGCTATTGCTGCTCTGGGTCTTTGGCTGCTCACATCATATACTGTAAAAGTGAGCCCCCAGGAAATCCCAGGCCTCTTACCATAGATTTTACAATCCAAGGTTCTTGGATCAAAGCTATGCCTGTGTACATCCTGCTAAGGCAAGTACACAGCAATGTACTGGCCTCTTTACAGTGATGCAAGTTGCTCTGAATGAATTCCATCATCCCCACAGCCACAGAGACTGGAGGTAAGATAGGATTCACTACTTGGCCTCACTAATTGCTTTGCCACTGACCTTAAAGGTCAGCCAGCTCAGCTCATAGTATGGCCTGTTCTCCAGACCTGCTAAGACATCTAGAGACTTGTCGTCCACACCAAGAAGCAGAAACTGACCAGTAGTCTGCCGCTCAACATGAACAACCCTCCAGACATCCGTTTGCAGTCCCGGGTTCTGTCTCTGGAGTCGGCGCAGAATCACCTGTGGTTCTGCAGGTTCCCCAGGCACAAATACCCCGACTCTCTTGAGAACTGGGAGGTCCCGGACTCTCTTGGCAGAGAATCCATGGCCCTCCCAACTADGGATCTGGGAGACAGCAYGTAYGAGCCATTCCATGGMTGGTTCGTCCGCGCAGGTCACTCGAAAGGTGCCCTGCACAAGACCTGACTCACTGAACCGTGGCACCGGATGGTCGTCCGGCACCTGGTCAATGAGCCCCACCAGGCTGGCCCGCACGTGTTTGATTTCCTCTTTTTTCAGAGGTCTGTGTGGGTCATCATCTAGAAAGATGATGAACTGCAAGTCCCTGCCAGCTGCCAGTGCCATTGAAGGCCTGTTGCGATGTTTTTTTCGGGACCTGGGCACTACCTGGAGTCGAGAGTGTAACCCTCTTCCTCTTACGAGAAGAAGACCCTGCTCCATCTCCAGCATTGGTTTTCGATGTGCTGGGTTAAGGGTGGTCAGCATCCGAGCCTTTGGAAGGCTCTTTTGCTAACTCCCCCTTCCCAGCCACCAAACAGGAAGAAGATTTCTTCTTCTTCCTCTTCTTCTTCCTTTTTTTCTTAAGGTCTTGAAGGGAGAGACCCTCTAGATCTCCTGAGAGTTCATCCCCCCCTTGACCTTTCCTCCATCAGAGGACCCCAACAGCATGTCGGTGTCMTCATCACTTAAACACTCAAGCACTTGTGTGGCCCCGACCGCTCCCCGAAGAGGTGCAAACAAGGGGCTACCCTCGTGCTGAGTTCTCCTGGTAGACCCAGCATCAGCAAAGGCAGAATGCCTTGCCGTCACCGAGTCCCCAGGCACTAAGACCTCCGGTTGTCCAGAGCCCAACACATAAGTATCAGGCTCCGAAGCCAGAGTAAGAGTTGTTCCAGTCACTGTACTGGCCTGCCCAGCCTGGTTCCCCACCAGATAGACCAGAGGCATGGTTGTAAGACCACCTGTGGCACCCGCACCCACGGCGCCACAGGCTGGGTCCCCGGAGATTTTAGAACCCCCTTTTGCCGGGTACTGGGGGCTGGTCCCTTGTCCGCTCATCTTAAAATTCTGTCAACTTGCCATCCACTGGGGGTAGACGGCTAACGAGTGTTGACAATACCCGCGTTTTATATCAGAGTTTTCCTTCTCCTATGCGGGTTGCCTGCCAAGGCTAACTAGCCCCACCTGCCCGGCTGCTTTTGGTTCACGGCACCCTATTCACCTTCCAGCTTATTCAGGCACACCCCTACACAGCAGGAACCCCCCCTATCCACCACCTGGGGGACGCACCTCTATGCAGTGCAGCCTCAGCGCAAGGTCCGTTTTAGCATACTTCCGTTTTAGCATTACTTCCGTTTTAGCATTACTTCCGTTTTAGCATTACTTCCATTTTAGCATTACTTCCGTTTGAGCATACTTCCATTTTAGCATTACTTCCGTTTTAGCATAACTTCCGTTTTAGCATGCTTCCATTTTAGCATACTTCTGTTTTAGCATTACTTCCGTTTTAGCATTTCTTCCATTTTTGCATACTTCCATTTTAGCATACTTCCGTTTTAGCATACTTACATTCTAGCATTACTTCCGTTTTTGCATTTCTTCCGTTTTAGCATTACCTCCGTTGTGGCTTTTGCTGTCATGTTGGGGCTTTTCTTTTGTTGTTGTGTTGTGGCTTTTGTTGTTGTGTTGTGGCTTTTGCTGTCGTGTTGTGGCTTTTGCTGTCGTGTTGTGGCTTTTGCTGTCGTGTTGTGGCTTTTGCTGTCGTGTTGTGGCTTTTGCTGTTGTGTTGTGGCTTTTCTTTTGCTGTTGTGTTGTGGCTTTTGTATTTGTGTTGTGGCTTTTGTTGTTGTGTTATGGCTTTTGTATTTGTGTTGTGGCTTTTGTATTTGACATGACCCCTCTGGGTCACCGTAAAATGCAGACAAGGAAACCTGGGGAGAAAGATGTTGAATATTAAAAGCATTATTATCCTTCATGCTGCTGGTTTACCAGCAGTGGTGGTCCGAGGAGAAGGTTCTACAGGACCAACAGTCTGTGTGGTGTTCCCTTCTTTGTGTCAGAGGTTAAATGTCAGCCTCTTCTCCTGTGGTTCATTACTGAAGGCCAGAACCAGAACCAGGACCAGCAGCTGTGTGATGTGAACTAGCTCTGGCTGAAGAGTTTTAACGAGCGTGTGCTGTAACAACTCTGCCTCATTGTGCAGGTTATTAATGCAGCTCTCTGTGACCATCAGCAGGCAGCATCAGCTGCATGCACAAGTAGGGCATCAGTCCCCACTGACCCACATCTTATTATCTTTGTGGGGTTTTGTGTAGAAGAAAAGCAGCATGTGTGAATATTCTGATCAGTTCTCAGCCCCAAGAGACTTCTGTGTTTTATTTTAGAAAATGAAAGCTCTGGTTTTCCATGGAGCAGTGTGTGTTTCCTGAGTGTCAAACAAAAAGCATCTCCTGCTGATAAGAGACACAACTCTGTTGTTCACATGAAACCTGTCAATCATGCTGTGTAAGATTGTTCTTTGTCACATGTCAGGAGTTGTGTTTGCACTGACATGTTGAGGAGGACTCTGTTATTACAACAGTAATCGTGTTACCATTTGTAGAGTGAATTTTTATCCAACTGTTCAAAATTTGCAAAAAATTTAAATAAATAAAAATTCGAACGTAGACTGTTTCCATCTAGTTTCCCTCTCGGCTTGATGCGAATAAACGAGGCTACGCAACGCGTGATTACGTCAGACAAGGCTACGCAATGCGTGATTACGTCAGGCAAGGCTACGCAACACGTGACTACATCAGACGAGGCTACGCAACGTGTGATTACGTCAAACGAGGCTAAGCAATGCATGATTACATCAGATGAGGCTACGCAACACGTGATTACATCAGATGAGGCTACGCAACGCGTGATTACGTCAGAAGAGGCTACGCAACACGTGATTACATCAGATGAGGCTACGCAACGCGTGATTACGTCAGACGAGGCTACGCAACGCGTGATTACATCAGACGAGGCTACGCAATGCGTGATTACGTCAGATGTTGGCGACAAGCTTTGCGGTTGTAAACAGGAAGTGAAACTTGCTAACTAGAAGAGGCTAATCATCTCGGGACATTGGAGCGATTTTTCCGTGAATGCCTCGCTATTGGGCAAGTTGTAATTATTCTATCTATTCAGCTAGTACAGGCTATGTTTAACGCTGCCAGAAGACGTAGGGAAATAAACGCAATGTTAATTTACGCTGCAGAAAGGCACATGCAACTATGCCGGGATGAGACAGGAAAGCGGAAACAGCTGAACGTCACGTGAGGTAAATATGCGCTACGTMAGAATTTATTCGCCAAATGTGTTTCCATCTCCCATTTTGCGCATTAACTACTTTGCGATTCATCCAAAACCCACCTCAAGCGAGCGTAAAAACTTTTTAGCGAATTGAGGATTTTTTTTTCGATTTATGCTGTTTCCATACGATTTTTTTATCGCATTTTTAATGAGACACTTTTAAATGTGCATCAAAAAGCCTTGATGGAAACACAGTTACTGTCAAACTGACTGAGTTACACATGTGTTTGTGTTGACTATTAGCTGAGGCGGCCATCTTGAATCAGACTTACTTTAAACTGGATCAGCTGTAAATGTGGAGCTTCAGTAGAATCTATCCAGTGCTTCAGCAAATATTTTGCTAACAGAGTTGACTTCAATAGTTAGTACAAAGTTTTAAAAACAGATTAGTTAGTGCTATTGTGTTATTGTGTTATTCCAGATCAAATGTGTCCTGTGACTTATACTCGGGTGTGATGGCTTTTTCCTCTTTGTGACTCACTTTTTGACTCATGTGAGTTATTCTCCGAAGTGACTTATAGTCCATAAAATGTTGTAATTATTTCTGGGAGTTTAATTACAGTCCATTAAGAGTTTTAAGAGATATTTTGCTATCATCACAGACTCAGGTAAATATATTATCTAGCATCAAACACAAACTGTTGTCAGGAAATAATGCTGAAAAGATTCGCCTTTTTGTTTTTTCTCCAAGGTTACGTGACAATGGGGGCGGTCCCTCCTGGTCACTGGTCCCAGCAGGCCTTTGCAGCCCAGACACCGCTGGCCTTTGGGGTCCAGTCCCCTCTGGGCCCCGTGGCCCAGGTGCTCCCAGGTGGACAGCCCCTGATCTGGGGCCAGGCCAACATCTTTCCTGCCACCCAGCAGCAGTGGGCAGCCATGGCAGCTGGAGCCTTCCCACCCACAGCCTACCTCCCTGCCCAGCCGGTGGGCGCTCTGTTCCAGACCCTGGCTCCGGTCAACACTGTGACCCCCGCCAGCGAGAGCCACCCAGGAGCCGGGGCCGCTAACTCAGCTGCCTCCTCGTCAGCGCTGTCCAGTCCCCACCATGAGGAGAGGAGCAAGAAGATGGGCAAGGATATGTTCAAGGTGCTTCTTGTGTTCTTCTTAACCTCTAAGCCCCCAAGAGGTTTTCTTGAAGTTTTTGCTCAAAATCCCATGCTGAAATGTAACTGAGTGTATCTCAGCATTTACAAACTCTACTTAAATAATCTTAGTATCAAAATAAAGCTGAGATTTCATCAGAAGTGTAAATATTAAAACAGCTGCTGTGGTTTTAGAGATATTAGGGATGGAACATTATTTTATTTTTCCCCTCCCGTCTGAATAATGTTTTCATTAGACAGTATATAACCTATTTAAAACCATAATGAATCAGGCTAAAACTCTTGGAAACCATAAATCCACCTGTGGACATCACCTGTGCAAAGATTCATGCTGCTAACATTAACTGGAGCAAAGTTACAGAGGTTTTAATAAAGAAATAATTTAATGTTTAGTCTTTCTGCACAGGACAGACCATGATGGTTCTGTTAATAAATGTTAACAAATCTGAAGTTTTTACATCAAAAAGTTATTTATTTTTATTTACCTGCCTTAAAAGACTTATTGATTTGTTCTTTTGAAAAATTATCCAAACATTTATTTGTCACCATATATATTAGAGAGTAATATACGTATG